AAAAAAGGAGTCTATTGTGATAATGCTGCCTTGACCTTAGTTCAGTGGTTCTCAACCTGTGGGTCGCGAACCCTTTGGTGGTCGAATGACCCTTTCACAGGGGTCGCCTAAGACCATCCTGCATATTAGATGTTTACATTACAGTTATGAAGTAGCAACGAAAATAATTTTATGGTTGGGTCACAACATGAGGAACTGTATTTAAAGGGCCAGAAGGTTGAGAACCACTGCCTTAGTTGAATGCATATAGTTCTTGGGAATTACTGGGTCAAGGGGAATGAAGATTTTAGAGTGTTTCTACGTATTGTCTTGTAGAATGGTTTGGGCAATTTATATTCTCCCTAGCAATCTAATAATTGTATACGTTTACTTTTTTCTCTCTTACTAACTTGAATCTCTGTATATGTCACTATATCATGGATGAAGTCCAGGAAGGTAGTAAGGAAGTGAGGCTTGGATACCACAAGCTATGCCGCTATGCTTATTTTTATCCAAGTTTCCCTAATGCTTCTGAAGACCACTCTGACAACATGACAAAGAGCCAGGCAGAAGGGAGCAGGAGAATTGCTAAGCACCTTATCTACAATTAATGTTTAAGGAAAACCAGAACACTTAAAAGAGATGAGAATTTTTGAGGAAGAAAATGGAAGTGTTTTAAATTTTTATTCTATAGTTCAAACTCTTGATAGTAAGTCCTTTATTCCAATTGCCTGGGCTTAGATTAGCTCAAATCTATTTAATATCTTGACAGTTCAAAAAGAAATATCTGCTGTTAGCCTAGTCTTGCTCGTAGAGACAGCTGGTATGGGTTTGGCAGTTTCTTTAAAGAAGACTCAATGAATATGGAGACTAAAATAACAAACTTGTTTTGAGGCAGTGCTTCTAGAACATGATTTGAATGTTTAAAAATTAATTGCAGAAGTATCCATCTATCATTTATGGACAGAAGACTCTGTTGCCTTTTACTTTTGCACAAAATTCTTGATGTGGTCAATTTCAGGATCCTTTATTTTCCTCCTGTTTAATTTCTTTTTCTGTAGTTATAATTCACCCAGCAAATAATTAATCTATCATCATATTTTAGCATCAGAAAACATTATGATATTTTTCTATATTGGAAATGAGTCAGCCAATCAACAGCATGTATTGGACACCAACATTGAGTCACCCATGTTACTTTAAAAACAAATTGACCCGTGATGAGACATAATTTTACTTCAGAAAGGCTAAAGTTATAAGGGCTAGATCAAGTATTTTGTATTCTGTTTCTTTTTTTTAGATTTTTAGATGTGACTAACCAATTTTCCTAAATATAAAAAAAATACTAGGAAGGTTGGTGTATTTTGTTATTAACAGCAAAAACCAGTATTCTGCTATAAAAACAGATTGGTTTTCTGTAATTAATGTTTATGGGTCTGTTAAAATGATGGATATTTTAATCTAGATTATTTCATTATAAGAACTAAAATAATTATTAAAAGGGCAAAACACATTTGTTAAAGAAAAATCAGGAACCATGGAAACAAAAAGAAAACAAAAAATGTTCACAATCTAGCCATTCATAGACAGCTATGTTTATATAAACTGTGGTTTTTATTTTTCCAAATTCCTTTTCTTCTTTTTTGGTTATACCTTTCCAGACTTAAAAAATGTATTTAGTTATAAATTGTATTATGTTATTAATAATTATTTTGTAGCCTAATCCAGTGATAGTATGTCATGAACAGCTTTCTAAATGCCGATGCACTTTATTTTCTACACAAATAACACTTTATAGTATGAAAACACCATAATTTGACCAATAACATGAGGGACATTTATATTGTTTTAATCATACCATTGTTTTACACAGCATGGTGACTACAACTAACATTGTATTTTATACCTGAAAGTTTTTAAGAGAGTAGGTCTTAAGTGTTATCACCACACACACAAATCATAATTATGTGAGAGGATAGGAGATGTTAACTAAACTTATGATTATCATTTTGCGACATATACATGTTTCTAATCCACAGACTTCCATCACCACTGATTGAAGGTTGACCCTTGGTTTTTGCCTTCCCTCCACTCATTAGTGTGTCTGCATACCCTGTTCAAGGCAAAATGTCTACATATTTCTCTTCTCTTTTGCTCCTGGTTTTCTAATTCATTCCTGAGTATATTTAGTTTCTAATTTCTTGGCTTTCTCTGCTGTTTCCAGACCATGTGTTTGTCCTTTTTACTGATGTCAAAATTGGCTCCTTCGGTTTTAATCCTTTGTACTCTCCCAGATATTGTATGGCAAAAAACAAAAACAATCTCAGATGTCATATTGGTGTTGTATACTTGTTTGCGGCCATCCCATTCATTCAAGCTTGACCCTCCTGGAATCCAATCCTGCTGTTCATCTTTGCTTCTCTGCTAAAACTTGTCTTTTCCCAAAGCCCATCTTGGAGAATTAGATCCTGGCCCAGTGAGGGCAGGTAGGTGCTAAAGGGAAGGTATGTCTAGAAGAACGGTTAGACCCAGCTTGCAAGCACAGATAGGACATCCTCACAACATCCAGGACTCATCATGGGCAGAACCCATACTATGTCCATCACTGCCTGCTCTTGGGATTGCATTTGATTTTAGTATATCTTTAGGGTCCACGCCTCCCATTTGCTGTCTATAATTTGGGCAATTTTCCTCATGTCTCTGAACTCTGTTTGATCCCTGCAGATGTAGAATGAGAATATTAATAGTTAATAATAGAACCACCTCGATTGGATTGTTGTGTCTGGAAAATTAGCTACTACTATTACTAGAATCTTATTTTCCAATGGACTCATTTCCTATCCAGCAGTCAGACAAGCTCTGAAGTGGTTGCTCTCTGGGCTCTCTTCAGAACTCAGGGCCAGCAAGGTGGGTGGGACCCAGTGTGCTTGCTCCTGCCCACCTTCTCCCTATTTTTGCTCCTTATCTTCTGCATAGACCCCCATAACTTACTTTGTCAGAGAGTTAATAATCAATGCTATATGCTTTTTAATAGAACATATGTTTCAATCTCTTTACATATATTAGCTCATATAATCCTTCTGGAAGATAGATTTTATAGTCTTTATAGCATAAAACCAAAACCAAAATTAAAGCAAAACAAAACAAAACAAAAAATAATGGCAAAAACCAAGGGCTCTGCGTGATCACATAGCTACTCTAAAGTAATACATCCAGAAAGGAGTCCAATCAGAATTCTAATTCAGGCTTTCAGTTTTAAGCAGTTTCTCCAATAGTATACTTCTCAGCATTTTAACCTCTGGATACTTGGCCTATTTCCCCCACCCACCCAAAAAATTCTCTACTTAAATATCAAATGCAATCATTTCTCTTCTCTCTCATTCTAAACCTAGGAGTCAAGGTGCAAGTTTGGTAAATACACCTGATTTGTGGTCTGTCCTTGCAACAACTATGCCATTTTCTATTTCTTGTGTTCTTGAAGGGATTTGCTATACTTTCTATTAATCTCTGAAAAGCTTAGAAATATATTAGCTTCTCTTAACCACTACCCCCCTCTTGGAAACACTTGTGACAGCCAGGCCTTTGTTCATGTGTGATCAAAATAGAACTACTTACAGAATAGGATGCTTGAAAGCATCTCTGTCTTTATTATAATTTTGATGACATTTCTGCTTGTTTTATTACCAGTTTGGTGTGGGGAATTCGACTAAATAAATCACCAGACATAAGAGATACAGTAATTGCTGACAAGGTGGGAGCTTGGAGGCTTCTGCGTTTGGCTAACTCAAGCTTCAAGCCAGTTTTACATTTTTAGAAAAATTCCAAAACATTTAAGTCCTGCTTTTCTCCAGTTTTTTTTTATCCACTGTCTTATTTTTCAGGTATCAAATGTTTATCATTTCTGTACGAGTTCTAATGACCAAAAAATATCACCAAATGAACACATTCTTCAGAATTCCAAAATCCTGAAATCTTTTTTAGAGTGTGCCCAGCATGACATAATAGTAAAAGTTACAAGTCAGTGGTGAATTATAACCAAGGTCATGGAAAACACATTGCTTTTCTTAGTGGTTGCATGATTATCAGACCTCTGGGGATAAATCTGCACCCACTGGAAAGGCAGTTAACTTACCTTGGTGATTTTGATTTATAAGCCTTGAGATGCACAAGGTTGCCTATTTGTTAGTGCTTGTTTTATGTTTGAATAGCTTGGAAGCTTATAAATTTGAGGCATAGCTTAAAGTTTGTCTGGCTATTTCATATTTTATAGAAGGCATCTGATCAGAGAACTTCAACTTCTGTTATTTCTACTGTGACACTATTTAGTTTTTATAACATAGTGAGGACATCTGATTTGTATTTTAGAGCATCTCTCTTTGTGGATCAGTGCTGAAGTTTCAAAGAACTGTCAGAACTATTATAAAACCATGAAAATTACAGGTAAATAATCATTTGTGGAGTAAAAGTTAAATGGTTTAAAGGGAGGACATTGAAGAACTAGCCATTGATAAAATTTATTCTAATTGGCTTCTCTTTGAGCTTTTGTTCAGAATATACATGACCCTGAGGGCTTTCATTAAAAATTGTATTCAATTTTAATTATACAGAGGAATCTTCCCAGCATTGGTCTGGAATGGCATAAAGAAGATTCTTGAATGAATGAAAGGGTGTGACTAGAACGAAAACTTAATGAATATGGGCTTTGAATATCAAATTGTAGAATGACTTCCGGGGTTACATTGACCATAGAAGTAGTTATATGTCAGCCTGAGTTCTCCTTTCTCCTTCTAACATTCCTTATTGCAACACATATCAAGAGGAACTTTTGAACATTAATTTCTCATAGCGGGCTTTCTCGACCTTCCCAGTATTGAATTTTTGGGCTGAATAATTCTTTGTTGTAGGGGGTGGTGGTGGTCAGGGGACGTTCCTGTTCATTGGAGGTAGCTAGATGCCAGCAGCAGCTACCCCAGTTGTGACAGCTAAAATGTTTCTAGACATTGCCAAAAGTCCCCGGGGTGATGGCGCAGAATCCCCTGAATTTAGGACCACTGTTCTACATTGATAATGCAGAAAAGAGACGAATGACAAATGACAAGTTATCCATCTTGAAGACATCACAATGTGTATGTTAAAATAAGGTGCACATCACAGTGTGTAATCCATTTGCCACTAAGCCCAATCAAGCTGAGGCAACCCTCAGGTAGCTGCTGTTATTTCAATAGTCTATGTCTGGCAACTGGGCAGTATCTGATTGGTTTTCATTTGATGCTGCATTTGAATACAACAACAAGAATGATCAAGTCTTTTGAGATAGTTCAATACTTGGCATTTATAAATACAAAGATTTAATCATCATAGACAACTGTACTTTTATACTGTTACATTGCTGTTATATATTTTAAGAAATTAAACATAAGGAATGTTCACCTTTTTTCAATTTTTATTGATTCTTTTAAATCTTACTTGTTAAAAGGAGAGTCTTTTCGGTGAGGCCTTTTACTATTTTCTGTGGTCAGATTTGGTGGTGTTCCTACAGAAGTTGAAACTTTACTCTTGTCTGGAATAGAAAAGCTCACCCTGATATAAGCAGAGCTATGGTAACAGCCAATCATTATCTAGGAAAGATTCTGATTCTAGAATTCTTTTGGTACCTAAGGAAAAGAGGCATTTGAGAAATGGAGATAATCACAGGTATGACAGGATCAAGAAAACTGTTTATTCATTACTTACTTGGAATTGGTTTTAAATTTAAAATAATGTAAAGTTGGATAACTAAAGATAATGAATAAAGGAAATACACAGGAAGTAGGTATTATTAAGTAACAGATCATTATAACTTTGGGGCAGTGAATTTGTTTCTAAAGAAGTTTCTTGAGCCAAGGCAAAAAGGTAAGTATTGAAATAGTATGAATTCATTTTAAAAAAACGTTTAAATTATTCTTCAAGACATTATTTTTTCTCATGGAATTTGTCCAAATAAAATTTTTTAGGATTTGATAAAATGATATAGTTTTATACTTTTAGATGTTGAAATATATAGTCAACAATTTTTTTGTTTGTTTTTAAGACTGGAAGGAGAATGTTGTCTGTTAGCTCTTGGAGTTCTCTGCCTTAGAGGAAGAAAAGCAAATGGCTTCAATTGGAAAAAATTTAATATGGAAGTTACTCATATACCACATTATATATAAAAAACTACCAAGGTCTCCTGGCCAATGTCTGATTTTAAGTAGCATTGCATTCTTGTGTAACCTCAGTTATAAACTATATTCCTATGTAGCTTTGTAGAGTTGGTTTAGTTATTTAGGCTACTTAAAAATTAACATTTATAGCCCAACTGGTATGGCTCAGTGGTTGAACATTGACCTATGAACCAGAAGGTCACAGTTCAATTCCCAATCATGGTACATGCCTGGGTTTTGGGCTCAATCTCCAGTAGGAGGAGTGCAGGAGGCAGCCAATCAATGATTCCCTCATCATTGATGTTTTTCTCTCTCCCTCTCCCTTCCTCTCTGAAATCAATAAAACTATAAAAAATTTACCATTTAAAGTTGAAGCATTTTGAAAAATTAAATACATTTAATGTTAATGCTAAGCTGTTATGATTGTTGTCAACAGAGTCCAATGCTTCTCTGAGGGGCTTATTAAAAAGAGAAAATACAATCATGCTATTTTCAAAGCATAGGGTGCTCTATTGTTTTTTAAAAAAATCAACTCCATCACTAAATCATGTTGTGTTGTTTAGATGTGGATTTTTTAGTGTACTTGGCCACAGATACATTTAAATTCTCAAAAGATACATATTAAAAAATCCCAGACTTAAACTGTAGTAATATGATTCAGATTCCAAAGTGGTGACATATCTATATTAATAATAGACAAATATGTAAACTGACTGTCCCTCTGCTACGCCCACAGCCAATCAGGAGTGAGTATGCAAATTAACCTGACAAAGATGGCGGGCCTGTGGGCAGCGTGCATGTGTGCAGGCGCTGAGCAGCCAGGAGCATGGCAGATGCAGGTGTTCCGTCCCTCCCTGGCCTCTCCGGGCCTCTGGGCAGTGCGGGAAGGCGGAAGGCAGCCCTGGGCCGGAGCGAAGGTGGAAAGGTGGCTTCAGCTGGAGCGAAGGCCATGCTGGCAACCAGGGGAAGGAAGGCCTATTCTTGCATGATTCTTCGTGTATCAGGCCACTAGTAGGATATAAGTGAGCCTTAAACATTTTTACTGTTGATTGTCTCTGGCCATTGGGTCAAATGCTAACAATAGACCAAAGAGATAGATTAAAGAAATTATTCAAATTATTTTTAACTCTTCCTAAATGAAATGGAACAGAGGTGAATAGTAATTGTTGGAATAACCATTCTGAACACCTGGTTGGTAATTATGATATGTTATATAAATATTTATGATATTTATCATATGTCATGGAGTTAAGAAAACATACTAAAATATTATCAGCCTATCTTTTTTGGAATGATTAAGTGTAAAAACATCACTTTGTCCATCTCAAGTAATTACCCTTTAGACTTAATTAAGATAATTAGCTTGACAAACACTGGGATATGCTTTAGAACAGGTTGGGAATATAATACTGGTGGTAAGAAATCATTTTCCAGAGCTCTTCCCAGTATAGAATAGCTAATTATATGTTTTCAAAGGGAGGGAGTCACAGGTTTCCAATGTGACTTCTAACATGGAAATATAAACATAAATTAACATTTTGGAGTGAAATTACTTGATCAGTATGTGATCAAAATTGCACTGCACTCTTCCTCTTGGAATGTCATGCAATTTTTAAACATCATTCTGTGTATATTAGAAGTTTGGGGAATGTGCAAAAGGTTTTATTCTAATGAGTAGTAAAGAACCTAGGACCTAGGCTCTGTTTGGTTTTGTGGATGGTAAGCTCATCCAAAGATTCTCCTGTTTATTTTTAGAACTGTAAATCTGAATTCAGAAGGTTCTTTTCAGCTGTGTCCTACCATTCAGTCAACTCCTTCATGAAGCCTGTGGATCCCAGCATGTTCCTAATGAATTGCAGATTCCAATTCCTGGGAGGTTTATAAGGAATGAAGCTTTGGGGTTCTAAATGGGTCAGAGAAGATTTTGTACTTTGTTAGGTTATGAGAAATCTAAGAAGCAATCTGTGCTAAAGTCTCTGGAATAGAATTTTGGCACCTGCTGCTTTCTTTGCTTTTCTATGAGGAGAAGAACATTATGGAGGACTAACCAATGAAAGAATTTCTTAAAGGTATTCTTTATTGAGAGGTGGATCAGTTTGCTCGGGCTCAGTATAAAGATGAGTCAGACCAGAGTCTAGGAATTTAAGTAAATAAGTTTGACTTGGCTTAGAGATTTGGTACTATCTATATTTGTTTTCTACTTAAAATTAAACATAGAGACTGCACAGAAGAGCACCCAGTTGAATTCTTTTTCAAACTTCAATTGGTCTGGTTGGAGAGAATAAGAAATATTCTTGAATTATTTTACTGATGATTTTCTCTATTTTCTGGATATCATAATTTCCAGTTGTTGACTAGTTTCCTACCTTTTATATTTCTCATCTTTTTTTTTTTTAAATCTCTTAGTCCTTTTGATCTATTTCTGGGAGATTTCTCTAGGTTTTATCTTCTATTCCTTATATTGATTTTAAAATTTCCTCCATCATGCTTTTTAGTTTCTGAAAGTTCTTTTTCTGTTTTAAAAAAAATATGTTTTTATTGATTTCAGAGAGAGGAAAGGAGAGGGAGAGAGGAACAGAAACATCAACAATGAGAATCATTTATTGGCTGCCTCCTGCACGCCCCCTACTGGGGCTTGAGCCCACAACCTGGGCATGTGCCCTGACCTAGAATCAAACTGGGACCTCCTGGTTTATGAGTTGACACTCAACCACTGAGCAGCATCGGCCAGGCTAATTTTACTGTTTCTTATTTGTAGCATTTTGGCCTTTGGTATCATAAATATCATGACTTATTGCTCTGATTAAAAAAATTCTTCTCCTTGTGTCCTCCAAGTTGTTTATAAATAAGTTGTTTATTTTGACCTATCTTCCCTAAGTAGGGAATTAAAAAGCTCCTTGGAAGCTCTGAGCATTTGATCTTTAATTTACTCTGGGTGACTTGGGTGGGCCATTAATTGGGTTGATCAAACTCCCTCAAGAAATGTGTTCTAATCTCCTTTCTGGAGGGAAAAGTTCTAGCTGCTAGTCTTCTGGCATTAGGAAAGAGGCTGTGAGGGGTGGAAGGAGGATAGCTCAATACTTTATATCCTATAAGCACAGTTACTTAATCCCCTTGTTTTCTGTAGGTTTCCATGTTCTTGAGATACCCCAATTCAAAGACCCTCTGCTTTACACTACCCAGACCTCAGTGGGAGGGTTGGAGGTGGAAGGGTGAGGGGTGAGGGGTAATACTCGGTGAAATGAAGAAGGGGAGGACATGTAGGTATCTAACCAATTCCCAAATAGCTCTCATCCATTCCCCCTTATTTCAGGTTCACACCCACCAACCCAGTTTATCCCCAGTTCTAGACAAGCTGGTGCTACCAGTTGCTGGGCATTTGGGGGAATCTGTTGTGTAACTAGTTAGTTCTTGGTTTTTCCCATTGCCCACATCAGATTGAGCTTTCTTGAATCTGGTAATTCAATTGCTATGTGTGCACCTGTTTTCCATCTTCCAAAATTTAGTTGCCATTGTCTCCTCTCCTGTTCTTCCTATTCTTGTGGGTTCAGGTCTTTGAAAAAAGGCCACATTTGCCCAATATGCTATGTTGCCCTGCAACACCCAATTCAAATGTGCCTTTGAGTGGGAAGTTACACCTTTAAATGGGAAATTTTCAGAAGACAGATCTTAAACTAATGGTGTATCAGAGTCTGTCATAGAAGTTTTCCTTACCTGTGAAGAGGGATTTATTTTTTGGGGGTGGGGGGTGGTTAAAGGAAAAATATCATTTAGAAATTTATTGTGTGTATATAGATTTTGCAACTATATCTTTCTTGCATGGTAGCTTTATATCAGTCACCCCTGTGAATTTTGAACATTGAAACAATGTATAACATTTTAATGAAGTGAAAAAGTTCACCAAGTGCTGCCCAGCCCATGTTGCTCAGTGGTTGAGTGTCAAC